AAAAAAAATAAAACCCCTGTTTTTTTTTTTTTTTTTTTTTTTTTAATGTATTATTACAGAATGTGTGTGTTATTTATATAAATATAATTGTACAATTTGATTTTTATAAAATATAAAATAATTTTGAAGCAAATAATAGCCCAGGGTATTATTATTATGTTGGTGATTTTTTTTTTTTGTCGAGAGATAAAATTAAAAAAAACTATTTTTTTTCAAAATAAAAAAAAAAAAAAAATAGTTTTACACAAGAGGTTGATTTTTGTTATAATAAAAATTTTTTTTTTATTTTTTTTATTTTTTTTTTTTTTAATATTTTGATTTTGATTTTAACAACATCCCAATTTAAATCAAACACAAACAAAATGTTAAAATAAATTTCTTTTGATTATTATTATTATTATTATTATTATTATTATTATTATTTGTGCGTGTGTGTGTTTTTTATTTAATATGACCAAAAATAAATAAATAATTAAAAAATTAAAAACCAAATAATAAAAATAATAAAAATGATTATCAACTTTTTTTTTTTTTTATTCTATAAATTGTTTTTTTTTTTTTTTTTATAAATATAAAATAAATATAAAAAATATATTATTATAGTTATAAAATAAAATATAATAATAATAAATGTTAAAGTGAAAATTTAAATTATATGGATTTTTATTATTTTATTATTTTATTATTTTATAATTTTATTATTATTTATTTAAAATTTTTTTAAAAAAAACAATAACAAGCCCTTAATACCCATAGAACACCTTTTATACCTATTAATATTATTATTATAACAGGTTAAGATTAGATAGCAGGATTTTAAAATTGATGGAAAATAATTTTTCAATAAATAGTAATAATAAATTATTAATATTAAAATTTTTTTATTAATTAATTTTAATTTAAAATTTAATGTAAAATAAAAAAATAAAATAAAGTATTTTAATAGTAATTGTAGTAGTAGTATTTATTTATTTATTTATTTATTATTTATTTATTTATTTATTTATAAACAAAAAATAATTTTTTTTTTTTTTTTTTTTTTTTTTTTTTTTTTTTCTTTTTCTTTTTCCCTGTTTTATAAGACCCAACCCAAATTAATTTTTTTGGGAGTAAAAAAAACCTAAGTAATAATTAACTTTAAAATTACAATAAAATATCTTTATAAATATTTTAAGGACACAAACACATAATAAATGATAAATAAACCAAACACCCCCAAGTGTTTTTTTTTTTATTTTTAATACTGATGTACGTGTGAAACTATATTGAAGTGTTGGTGTATGTTGGTGCGTGGGAGAGTGTGGGTGAAGAGTGGGAGCATATGTATGTATGTTATGTGTGACATAGGAAAAAGAAAAATCAAAACCCACTATTGTTTTTTTTTTATTTTTTTATTTTTTTATTTTTTTTTAAATAAAAAAAAAAATAATATATTTTGGAGGGCTATCAAAAGAAAATAAAGATAAATCTTTTTATCTTTAAATTTTTAAAATATTAACAGATAAAAATTTATCATTTTACCCCCCAAAAAAAAAATGATCAAAATTTCTTTTTCTTTTCAAATTATATTTTTATATTTTATCATCACTTTTTTTTAATATTTAAAGAGTAGTATTATTATTATTTATAAAGTTGGTTAATAATAATAGTAAAAAATAATTAATTTATTAAATTATTTTATATGTAAAGGTATGAAATATGTAATATAATTATTTAATAGGTTTATTATAATAATAAAAAATTTTCGTCAATCGTAAATTAGATTTCCAAAATTACAAATAATTTATAAATAATATTCAAATAAAATAAAAGTAATAAAAATAAAAATTATAATAAACCCACACAATTCCAAATCTATTTTTAGATTTTAATTTAAAATAATTTGAAATTAATACTTGATTTCTTTATTTATATTAATCTTTGATTTTACATTTCTTTATTCCTTAATTATTGTTCAATTATAAATTATTTATTATTTTAATAGAATTATAATATGGTGATAGGAAATCATTATCAAAAATAATTATTTATTATTTTAATAGAATTATAATATGGTAATAGGAAATCATTATCAAATAATTAAAATAAGTAAAATAATTAAAATAATTAAAATAATTAAAATAGCTATAAAATCGCCATATAGATAAATTTATTTATCGATTTTGACTTTAATCAAATTATTTATTTTAGTCATCATATTATAACTAATTTTAAAATATCCTTTTAACAATTTTATTTTTTAATTTTTTTTAAATATTTTTTTTAAATTTTTTTTTTTTCATTTTTTTTTAATTTTTTTTTTTATCATTTAATTTTTAATTTTTTTTTTTTTTTTATTATTTTTTTTTTTATTATATTTTTTATTGTTTATATATATAAATATTTTTTAAATATGCATTCACCAGATAGAGAAGGTAGACATAGCAACGGCTCATCATCAAATGGGGATAACTATAAAGATGATGCATCATATAGTAAAGATGATGAAGATTTTGATAGGTAATATTTATATTTAAACCAATTTTTCTTTTTTTTTTCTTTTCTATTATTCTATTAAATCAAATAGTTTAATAAGATAATATAATTTTAAAAAGAAACAAAAGAGAAAGAAGAAAAAGAAGAAAAACAATTTTTTTAATTAAAAAAAAAAAAAAAAAAAAAAAAAAAAAAAGAATAATAAATCCACTCCTTTTTCTTCAACTTTCAAAAAAAAAAAAAAAAATAATTAAATTCAATAAAATAATTAATTCATTTTTACCAACCCAATCTATTATTATTATAATTTATTATTCTTTTTATTCATATATATTATATATTTTATAAATAAAATTACAACAGAAAATTAAGATCACCAACCAAAACATCAGACTCTCCACCAACCTCATCATCCAACAACAACAGTTCAGACTCACATGATACACACAACAAAGGCAATACTCTTCACGTTTCCAATCTTAACCCAAAAACCAGAGAAGAAGATCTCAGAGACACTTTTGCACAATTTGGAAAAGTAATTAAAAATCAATAATAACAATAATAAATAATATCAACAAATAATCAAGTTAACTAATAATAGTACAACCATTAACCCTCTCTTTACTTTATCTTTTCATTTTTTATATTATTATTTAAAACAAAAATTAATAATCAATTTTTTTCTATTTATTTTTAGATAGCTGAATGTACTATTCTTGTTGATCCAAATACTAAAGAATCAAGAGGTTTTGGTTTCGTTACATTTTTATCGAGTGATGAGGCTACAGATGCAATTTCTCGTTTAGACTCTTCAAAGTTAGATGGTAATGTTATTAGAGTAGAAAAATCAAGAAGATCAAAACCAAGAGATCCAACCCCAGGATTTTATATGGGAAGTGAAAGAAAAAAAAGTAACTATTTATTTCTTTATTTATTATATTGGCAATTTCATATATTAACATAAAATTTTGGTCTATTTAGGAGCACCATATGGAAATTATGGACATGGTCATGGACATGGACATGGACACGGTCATCATCACCATCATCACAGAGATCCACGTGGAGGATCATATCCACCATATCCATATCCAAACTATTCTAAATATCCACCACCAGCAATTCCAACAGCTCCATATGGTGGTATGGGATATTATGCAGGTTCATATCCATCATATCCATCATACCCATCTTATGGCGGTCCAACTAAATATAATGACAGATACTCACCATATAGCAGAAGAGACGACAGAGATAGAGGAAGATCATCTTCATCAGGTGTAGACCACGATCGTGATAGAGGAAGAGATAGCGACAGAGGTGGTAGAGATAGAGATAGTTACTATAGAAGCAGAGATTCACATTAAGCTTTACATGTAAGGAAAATAATAAAAAAAAAAAAAAATTAAAATAAAAAAGAAATAAAAAAAAAATTAAAACAAATCAAAAAAAAAAAGAAATTTAAATTATATTATTTATAAAAATAATATTGCATATTTTTGAACTAATAATTTATTTTATTATTTTAAAAAACTATTTTTTATTTTTAATAATAAACTTGTGAAACCACCTTTGGTTTTAATTATTTTATCAATTCTTTTAGGGATTAGTTCATAAATTATCAATAATTATAAATTCCATACCGAGTTTCCCCAATTAATTCTTTAAATTTCCAAACCAGAGTTTATAAATAAAAGGTCTTAACACTGACCATAATTTTCAATGTTTGGAGTATCCATATGACATTTATTCCATTTTTTTGGTAAAATTGTTGAAAAATTCCAGCTCCATAAATTGAACAGTTATCTTGCAAAAGCTAAATATCTAAAGTATTGAAGTCATATTCACCAAGTATGAAATCAAACTCATCTTCTACTACCTTATAATATTTCACCATCTGTATTACCACAAATAAATGACATGTAGCCTACACCTTTCAAAGAAATTCAACTCGATGTATTTAATCTCGCCATTCATAACTTCTTTGGTTTTTTGGGATACTTCTTACATTTCAAACCTTCTAATGTAATACCTTGACGTTGGAGGGACCTTCTAATGGTGTTAATGGAAACTAGTACATTATAATTCTTGGAAAGATAACGTCTAACTTGCCCAAGAGTATGACATGTCCCATTCAATAGTAAATTTTTTATAACCCTTTCAATTCTATCTTCCAATACTTTTTTTCTACCTGGAGGTTTTTTAGGTTCAAGTGAATCATTTAATGCATAATTTCTTATAATATTTTTAATTGTTGATAAGCTGCAACCAATTAATTCTGCTTTTTTTGAATGACTAAAACCTTCTTGGTGAAGTTTTATAATCATTTCTCTTTTTTCAATAGATAATGTCATTTTATTTTATTTATTATAGTATTAATATATAATTTTATTTTTTAATAAAAAAAAAAAAAATTAATAAAAAAAAAAATTAATTATTTTTTCATTTAAATAAACCAAATTAAAAAAAAATAAAAAAAAAATATTTTTTAAAAGATATTTTAAGGAAAAATAAATAAATTTAAAAATTCCCCCTTTTTTTTTTTTTTTTTTTGAATTTCTGTGTATATTCATTTATATTTTAATCTCAACTAAATAATTTATATTTTCTTAAAAGTTAAAAATTAAAATTAAAAATTTAAAAAAATAAAAATTGTAAAAATATTTATACTATTTATTTAAATTTGTAATGTGGATGGAGTAACTGATGACCTCAGTATTTTTATTTATTGTGTTTTTTGGTATATTTTTCACATTGAAGTTTTTTTTTTTTTTTAAAATGAAGATAATATAAAATAATTTTGTTGTGGAGCTACTTTAGTTATATATGAAAAAACAAATATAAATAATTCAAATAATCAAATAAATATACAATTAATTGTTTGTGAAAACTAAAGCCGATATAACTATAACTGTATTATTTATTTAATTTAATTTATGTAATGCATTCATATGCATTTAACTTTTTTATTTAAAATTAAAAATAAAATAAAAATAAAAAATTGAAAAATTTAAAAAATAAAATTTTATTTTTTAGTTTTCAGTTCCTGAAATAATTTTAGTTTTTAATCTTTTGATGTAGATGATATTTGAATAGGGGTATGTGCAATTAAATTATTTCTGAGGTTTTTGCAAATATGTGTAAGATCAAAAATACTCTGAATGATTTAGTATGCTCAGACTGGTCGAGTAATTTTCTGCCTGGTTGATGATAAGTATGATCATACTTATCATGATGGATCTTTTGATTGAAAAAAGTGAATTTGATCTTTACTTTGTTCTTCGCTGATTTGGTATTTTTGTAGCATTGTGTAAACATAATTGCTGACATCGTAACCATCCATCATTAAACCTTCTATTAATATTAATGATGCCATGATTTCTATTATTGCTTCCAGTGTATTCTTGCCATTGGTTGGAAACTTGCCAAGATTGAAACATTTTACCATCCAAGCTTTGAAGAAAAATTTGAATAACCTTTTTAGCTAGATTTGCAGAAACAATCTTTAGTAAACGATTTTTCTTTAATTTTTTCATCATCGACATATCCATTACAAAGCCCAATTAATTTTGATCCATGTACATCGTTGTACAATCTTTTGAGAATATCAATTTCGTCCACTGCAACACCTACATAGTATGGTTTATTCTTTTCGGCACTCGATGAATCAATGTCATTTCTAAGAGTATGCATTCTAGAAATGAATTCATTCTCATAGAAACAATTAGGTTCTTTATTGAAACGTGCAATTGATGATTCTGAAGGACAGGGGATACCACCATAACTATAACGAAGGTGTTTTGACATAATTGAAACGCATCAGAAAGTTCTAGAAAAATAATGAATGTTGCCGAAAGAACTTTATCCTATCTAGTAGGAGAACCTCCGATCTAGTCATATGAAAAGGTTATCCAAACTAGTTGGCCGATTCACTTGTTATCAAATGCGAAACAATTATATCTGAAGAAATAAATTATATATGAAAAAATAAAATTATAAAAAAAAAGAAAAAATAAATTTTTTTTTTTTTGTATTTAAAAAAAAAAAAAAAAAAAAAAAAAAATTTTTGAAAAAAAATTATTTGTTTTTGAAAAATAAAATCGAAAACTGAAAATCATTGTTGTTTTTATTTTTTCGTGCATCACCATTAATCTAAAAATATAATTTAAAATTATAATCATTTTAAATACTAAAAACGAATATTATTTTCATTTTTATTAATAAAAACCTCAACCAATATTAATATTTATAATTAAAGATGGATTACTTATAGTTATTGTAATTATTTAATGTTATATAGTTCTGGAAGTAAAGATAAATCATCTTTTGCAAATTTACAATAAACTGTATACTGTATATATAATATATTCACTGTTTTATTTCCGTTTCTCTAATTTAAGTTTTATTTAAATTGAAGAGAAAAAAATATTAAAAATGAATAATAATAATAAAAAATTAAAATTAAAAAAAAATAAATATAAATAAAATGAAAGACATTTAATAGTAAAGAAATTGTTAAATCACTTTTTATTATAATTGTTTTAAATTTATATTATAATTATTTAATTTGGTTTATAGAAATATTGATTGATTCTAATTGTGCCTAGATCTTTTTTACCAGTATTAATGGAGGGCGAGGTTTTCCATAATCCTTGATTGCTCCAATAGTTGATTTAAATCTATAAATTGTTGCTGTAGTTGTTTTGATGGTGAATGAACATCAAAGTTTAGTGGACTTCCAGAAGTGGTGAGTTTTGATATTCCCTAATTTGGTCAATAATTACGAAAGCTTCAGTGTTTTTACCTTCTCTTCCTAAAATTATTTTATTTCTATCATAATTGCTTGGCCAGAGCGAATTAATGATATTCATAAAATAATTGATTAGGTTGATTGGCATCATTAGTGTTGACTTGATAAATATTTGATGACAGGCTATGAATTGCGACCACATATACTAAAAATACAACAGATATTGCACAACTTGACACAGTAGGTCCCAAATTATTTGATGAGTTCGGAATATATACCACTTGATACCATTTTATCAAAAACAGAGCTTGATGAAACATGATTCTACACTATTGGATACAATAGACTCTACAGCTTGATGAGGCAGATTCGTTACTTCTACCTTTGATAAACAAATAATTCACTACCTGGTGTAAAAGATTCTTAAGCACTACTTGATACAATGGGTTTCACACTTGATGCAACTGATTCTAAGCTACTGTACAAATATATCATACATTTCTCGAATCAGGCTCTGTTTTATTACCACTTATTGAAATAGGTTACCATACTTGATTTACACTAAATATAATAAAATTTAATTTGTGTTAGTATTGTGTTCATCTACGAATCCCATTTTTATATAGATTTTTTGTTTTAAAATAATGTGCTTATTTACTTACTTGAAGGCTTTTTAAATCTATTATTATTGATCTAGGATCATTTTTTTGAAATATTTATGCATTTATTGTGTGATGCAAAAAATAAAATGAAGAAATATTAAATTTTTTTTATTTAAAAAAAAAATATTAAAAAAATCAAAAAAATCAAATTTTTTTAAAATTTAAAAAAAAGAAAGCTCGGGAGATTATTGGCTGAATAAATCGGCTATACTGCAGTGATTACAACCTTGATAATAAATAAAATAAAATAAAAAGATTATTAATATATATTTTAATATTAAATAAAAATATTAATAAATATAACATACCTAAGTTATTGAGCTACTACTTTAAATATTACTTGGACCACCATTTGACCAATTACTTTTACTATTTGAACTACTACTTAAAATATTATTTGACCCACCAATTGAACCGCTATTTGACTACCAACTGACCGATTGTTTTAACCAACGTTAGAATTAAGATGAAAGATACCACATGAACCACTACTTGACCGGTTAATTTAAACCAACTTTGAATTACGATGAAAAACCACTTGAACGACTACTTGATTGATCACTTGAACCACACTTGATCGATTACTTGAACCACCATTTGAATTACGATAAAAATTATCACTAAAACCACACTTGACCGGTTATTTGAACCAAAACTTGAATTGTGATGTGAACTACCACTTGAACCACCACTTAACCGATTACATGAACCATTTAAATCACCGTTTGAACCACACTTGATCGATTAGTTGAACCACCATTGTGACCTTAAATTAAATTTGCTATAGGCTTTTTGATACGTTTGGGCGATTTTTTTTCAGATGCTGCTTATATTTTTCCAAATGACTAATGATGGTTATTAATATATGTTTAAAATTAATTTTTAAAAATAATATTATATTACATACCATTTTCTGTCTATAAATTATTGATTAGGTGTACTAATACCGAAATCTATAAGACCAATGTCAAAACATGCTGTGAATAGAGCTAAATCTATTGTATTAAAAAAATAAATTAATAATTTATAAAAAAATTATAAAAAATAAAAAAAATAGAAAATATAATTATTTACCTTTAATGGTTTTAAATGTACCTCGAATTACTTTATATATTGGACCATAACTTTTTAATTATTAAACTTGGCGTAAGGAACCATAGTGTTGTTCTGCATGGTGAGACAAAATAATAGCTCTAGAGTTTTCAATTGAACGTGGAGTGATTTCAATGAAAAAGCTGCTGTTAGACTCAACGGATGAGATAACGGTAATTTGAGATTTGAAAATCTCAGCAGCGGCGAGTAATGTTAAGTGGTCTCCCCATGTACCCCTTCTTGCCATTTGATTGCAGTACTTATACCAACTAGTGGCATTGGCAAATTCGTATATTTTGGCACCATTTGAAAGGGTTAAATTTTTGTTTTTCATGAGCCATGTAACAATAGCTCTTCTAATTTCCATACTATGGTTTAAATCGCCATAAATTTGGTCAGATAAAGCATGCATCTGACAATTGCCATCACCTGGGATGACTGTACGGTTCTCTAAACCGTAGAGCTCCAAACGTTCATTTAAACGTTTTATAGCTTTATCTTGTGGTGGTGGTTGAGGAGTATTGACTGTCCCTGAGTCAATATCCATAGATCCATAAAATTGATTTTTATGATCAATAATATGTGTGTTGTTTGTGTTTGATTGTGGTTGTGGTTCCTCTTGTTGTAGCTTTTCATATGCATCCATAGCTCTAAATAATTTTTTATAATAAGGTATTGATGCAGTATGATTTGGTTTTGGTTGTGGTAATTGTGGTTGTTGGAGGAGGACTGGGATTGGTTGTGGTTGCTGGAGTGGGATTGGTTGTGGTTGCTGGAGTGGGAGTGGTTGTGGTTGCTGGAGTGGGATTGGTTGTGGTTGATGGAGTGGTTGTGGTTGCTGGAGTGGGAGTGGTTGTGATTGTTGGTTTTGTTGTGGTTGTGGTTCTGGAACTTCTGGTGTATTTTTTTGTGGTGGGTTATTTTTTTTATGGAATTCCTTATAAAATTCGTCGTCGTAGAAAAAGTCCTCGACGTTTTCGGTTCCATCTGGGTAGTAGCATTTGGTGGTGTTATTTCTGGTTTTTCTAAAAAACCAGTAAAAAATGAACAAAACAATAAAACAAATTACAATAGTATACATTTTTATTAATTTACAAAATGAAAATACTATTTAAAAATCTAAATAAAATAAATAACTGTTATTATATTTTTAAGGATGTGGATATATAAAAAATAATTTTTTTTTTTTTTTTTTAATATAATATACAAATAAAATATATAAATAATTATTTACAAAATAACAAAAAATAACAAATAATATAATAAAATAATTTACAAAGAATATATTTTTTTTTTTTTTTAAATATAATATACAAATAAAATATAATTACTTACAAATAAAAAATAATGTAATAAAATAATGATTATGCTATGAGTGAAGTTGTATATAAAAAAATAGTGTGTGTGTGGTTATTAAAGCTATTATTTTTAATAAAAAAAAAAAAAAAAAAAAATTATAATTTAAAAAAAAAAAAAAATTAAAAAAATATAATAAATTAAAAAAACAATATATTAAATAAAAAAAAATTATAAATTGTGAACTTAATTTTTATACAGATTACCATATAATCAACTAAAATAATAAAACTTTTATCTTTATAAATAAATAATTTCAAATTTTAAAGAAAAAACCGTTTCCCAATTAAAGGCGGTGCTATCTGGTTTACAATATTCAGATAAACAACTACATTCAATACTTTAAATCAAACGAAATGGGGAATTGAACCACACTAATGTAAACAGTTTTTTCAAAAAAATTAATCAACTATAATATAAAATTAGAAAAATATTATATAATTCTTTAATATAGAAATCATATACTAAAAGTATTTAATTACATAAATAAAAAAACAATAATTTTTAAAATAAAAAAATGATTTTATTTTTATATTCTTTCATTTTTTTTTACCTCTTTTCTTTTCTTTCATTTTTTTTGTGAAACTATTCCTTTACTATTTTTTATTTTCATTTTCTTATAATTATAAATTTTAAAATTAGTTTTTAAAAGTATAGATAATGTGCTGATTATTATTTCATACTCTTAACAAATAAAATAAAAAGAAAAAATTTTTGATCAAACTTTTTTTTTATTCTTTAATAAAATTTAAAAAGGAGTTTACTTTATTAAAATTATATTTATAATTAAAGATGGATTACTTATAGTTATTATTATTATTATTATTATTATTATTATTATTATTATTATTATTATTATTATTATTATTGTAATTATTTAATGTTATATAGTTCTGGAAGTAAAGATAAATCATCTTTTGCAAATTTACAATAAACTGTATACTGTATATATTCACTGTTTTATTTCCGTTTCTCTAATTTAAGTTTTATTTAAATTGAAGAAAAAAAATATTAAAAATGAATAATACAAAACCAAAACATAAAGTCGAATTATTGTTTTTTTTTTTTTTTTTCCAAAAAAACAATAATCAATATTAAATTATAAAATAAGTATTCATAATTATATTTATTTTTAAAATGTATGTTAAACTAAAACCTCAACAAATCCAAATCAAAAAAAAAGGTAATTTTTTTTTTAATATTATTTTTTTTTTTAAAAAAACATTTTAAAATGAAAGTAAATGCACAATTAGAACATCATGATAATCAAAAAAAAACTATTATTTATTTTACCAATAGATTTTAATTTAATATGAGGCCAAAACAACTATTAAAGTTAACCTATTTATTACAATTACAAAATCAAATAATATACTGCACTATAGTTGATTTCTAAAAAGTTGGTGGGTGTGTTTTATATTAAATTATGTAAATAAAAAAAATTAAAAAAAAAGAAATGAATTATTTTAATATTTTAAAAAAAAAAAAAAAAAAACTACCATTACTATCTCTGATATATGTTTGTTTAAAAACATGATTATAATGTTGTTTATATTTTAATATGTATATTTATTTAATTTTTTACATTATCATATTTTTATTTTAAAAAAAAATTTATTTTAAATATTATAAAAAAAAAAAAAAAAAAAATTATTTTTCTTTATTTTTTTTTTGACAAATTAAAAAAGAAATAACCAAAATATAATTAAATTACTGTATAAATAAAGAAAATTAATCAATGAAAATTAAATAGCTGTGTATATCATATAATGTAATAACTATTTTAATTTTTCTATTTCAAAAATTTATAAAGTTCTTTAGTTTTTTTTTAATAATCACGATGTTCCTAAATTAGGGATTTGCTTTTGCGGAAACACTGTTTTATTTATACCACCAACAAAAAACCTTTGTGTGTGGGTAACCACATATAATTTATAATTTCAAAAAAAAAAAAAATTTTTAAATTTAAAGTTTTTAATTTAAAGTTTTTTTAAATTTAAAGTTTTTTTTTTAATTTTCGTCGCGAATTTTTTTTTTTTTTTTTTTTATTATTTTATCCACATACAAATAATTATTTACATTTTTCTTTTTATATAATAACAAAAAAAAAAAATAATAAAATTTAATTTCATCAATAGCTTATTATATTAATTAAATAATTCAAATTTCATTAAATAATAATTTGCGAATCACTATTATTTCATAATCATAATATAATATAAAATGAATTATTTAATAATTTTATATCTATTTTTAGTTGCTATCATCGGTATTTTACTCAGCTTTTATGTAAATAAACGTTCATCCAACAACAACAACAACAACAACAACGATGGTATCTCTAGCAACAATAACAATAGCAACACCAACCCACATCAAAATACACCAATCCATAATACTGCTCCAATATCTAGACAAACACAACAAACACAACAACCACAGCAACAAGAAGAAGTACCAGAAGAGGAACCAGAACAATCACAATCACAGCCACAGTCACAACCAAAACGTCCTGCTTCAACCCCAGATTATAAAAAACTAATTCAAAGTCTTCATGAATACGAAAAACAACAACAAGAAGAACAAGAAGAAGAATCACAAGAACCACAAGAACAATTTCCAGATTCAAGGGGTCAAGCCAGCAGTTACCCATCTTTTGACACAACCCACTCACGTTATACTGCCGCTGTTGATGTTCCACCAACCACTGAGCCACAACAACACTCACAACAATCCTCAGGTTCAAGGGGTCAAGCCAACTGCTACCCATCTTTTGATACAACTCACTCGCGTTATACTGCCGCTGTTGATGTTCCACCAACCACCGAGCCACAACAACACCCACAACAATTTCCAGCTTCAAGGGGTCAAGCCAGCAGTTACCCATCTTTTGACACAACCCACTCACGTTATACTGCTGCTGTTGATGTTCCATCAACCACTCAGCCACAACATCACCCACAACCAACATATTCATCTTCAAGTGCTCATAACTACCCAACAATAAATAGAGCACATTCTCGTCATAATACCGCTGCTTCCAAATCAACCGCTGTCCCAACATCTACCAGTAGCACTCCAATAAAGAAGAGATCATTGGAGTCCGATGACGAAGAATATATAGGAAAAAATATGGGATCCAATAAAAAACATAAATTTGAAGATGAAGAAGAATTTAAAAGGGTCCAAGCAGAAAAAGAAGAAATGGAAAGATTGGAAAGGGAAAAAGAAGAAATGGAAAGATTAAAAAGAGAGCGTGAAGAAAAAGAAAGATTAGAAAAAATAGAAGAGGAACGTAAATTAAATGAACAATTAGAAAAAGAAAGATTGGAACAGGAACAAAAACAAAAAGAACAAGAAGAACAAGAAGAAAAAGAAGAAGATAACAAATGTTACATTTGTTACGAAGATATGGAGACCGAGAACATTGCCACCATAGATTGTGGTCACAAATTCTGTATTGATTGCATAAATACATGGTACAAAATAAAAAATACTTGCCCATTCTGTAGAGAAAGATTTAATACAATTAAAGTAAGTTAATTCATATATTCATATTTAAACTTTATAAATAAAAAAATATATATTAATTTTTTTCATTATTTAATTGTAGAGAGATGGCCATGATACAATCATTGTAGAGAATGTTGAAAATAGAGCCCACGAACAACATTTAGATAATCAGGTCTATGATGATTCCGATGACTCTGATGATGACTCCCGTGTTGAAATCGTTGATCATAGAGAACTTATTTATCACATTTTATTGCGTCGTCGTTTTTTAGATAATATTCACGACGCAATATTTGATGAATATTTTGATATTGATTAATCATGAAATTAATGGAGATTAAATTAATAATTAACACACTTTATTCGAAGTTTCATTTTACGAATCGATGAAGAGTTAATTATTAATTATATCATTCCTTTCAAATTTTCATTTAATAATATCAACTGCAACTATCCACATCATTCGTAAGTTTCTCAAAAGATTTCAAAGTCACATCATTATCAACATTTAAAATAAATATAGCAATCATACAATTCAGCTCTACAGAAAAAGAAAAGAAACGGTCTAAAAATACAAAATCTTCCAGTTATAATTATTAGTAAAGAAACCAAAAAGGTAACTACAATAATAACATTTATATAATTATAATTATATATGAATATAAAAAAACTAATATTTGACTTTACAATACTGTATTATTTAGTCTAGTTCCAATTCTTTATTCCTCAATACCAATAAGTTTTCAGTTTATAGTCTCTATTCTAACGTCGGGGTTTTTACGATCATATATTCAGTAACAAAGTGCACGATACAGTATTCAACTTAACCATAACTAAATAATTTATTAATTTAAATAATTTAAAAAAAAAATTATTTTTAAAAAAAAATTTTCGAATTATTTTTTAATATTTTTTTATTAGCACCAATTATTATAATAGTAATAGTATATATAAACTAGTTTATAAATAACATTTCATACTCAAAGTAATTAACTAATGAAACTTTAAATCTACATAATTTTTAGAAAAGTATCAAATTATATTAAAATGTAAAATTGAATTAAAGGCATTTTCAATTACAAGGTACAATTGTTATTATTAAATTATATCATATTTGGTTTTTTTTTTCATATATTAAAGCCCCGTGCCTCTGTAGTTTGCGAATTATTACGTGAGATTAATGATCATGTTAAAGGTCGGTTGAAGAATGTCCAGTCCATTTATCAATAACAGCATTTCATTCTTTTAAGATTTCTCTTTAGTTATTGCCTCTCGTTTTAAAAGAGCTTTATCACAATATTTATACGAAAAAAACATTGGCTGTTGTCAATTCATATGGTTATATTGGTTATTTAAAAATTTCAACTCCAGAGCACTAAATTAAGTTTATTAAATAGCAATATATTATATCGTCTTTCTATTTTTTTTTTATTTTTTTTATTTTTTTTTTTAGAAGATAAAATGCTTTAAATTAATCAGTAAAACTTTAAAGTTCATTTACATTATGTAATGTATTATCATCAAAATTCACTTAATTAATAAATTATAACTTAAATATCCAGTTAATCAAATATAATAATTTTAATAATTAAAAATAATTAAGTTTAAAAAAATAAAAAAATAAAAAATAAAAAAATAAAAATTTTCTTTTTATTCAATTTTCACACAAACTTAAAAATCATATAATTTTATTATCTTTATTTTTATTGTTTATTTATAATTTATTTACTATAAAAGTTCATTTACATTATTTTTTTAAGATATATCACCGGGAAGATTTGTTTAATATAAAAGTTTTTCGCTCAATCTGGGTCTCGATCCCAGGACCTACAGCTTAGAAGGCTGTCGCAATTCCAACTTTGCTAATCGAGCTTTTATGATATAATCCTTTTCGGTGCCCTTCTAGGTCCGCAAAAAATATAAATTTCCCTTAATTCATTAAATCCCTTAGAAACAATTTTTAATCAAACTTTGCACAGAATAAACAAGAAAAAATTGAGAAGAGGGTATAAAAGATAATAATTAAGCCTTTAAAGTAGGATTTCAATATATTTCGATAAGTTGGACCCTCAAGCTTTTGTTGGTAACTTTAATATTTTATAATAAAATTTTCAATTTATAATCTGTTTACATCAATGTCATAACTTACATAACAGTCTTGGGCCCAATGTGATGTTCTTCCACAATTGAAACAGGAATTTATTTCATTGTAATCACTTCTATGTACTTCTCTATGGATATTGAGCTACTTGCAAAATTGAAGAAATGAATCATTTTAATATGGTAATTATCTCACCCATACTAAAAAATTCATTCACTTTTTCTTGTTTTCTTTCAAATAAAATGAATGAATTTTTTAGTATATAAATTACTCATAAAGTACTAAAAAGTTCATTCACCTTTTCTTGTTTACTTTCAAATAAAATGAATGAATTTTTTAGTATATAAATTACTCATTTTTTATTAATATTAATTAATAAAAGTTAAATATGATTCAAAAATAAAATAAATTTGAATATTTATTTATATAATATTATAATGATTAAAATTTTATTTTTTTATATTATTATGTATATTATTATTTTTTAAATGATTAATATTTTTTTTATTAATGAATATTATTATTATTTTTTGAATTTTCAAAATTTTTTTCCAATTGACACATTTGAAAACAGATCATTATACACATTGCATGTAATTCGGGAGATAATTTACATTTGGTATTGCCAATTCCAGATCTTTTAACTGAGCTATTACCTCTTTCAACAGGTGTTCTTAAAGCTGCCTGTTTCTGTTGAAATGAAGATTGTATTTTTTTTTTGTTCTTGGGTTTTATCATTTATTGTTTTCTCGTCTAAAAATTTATAATAACAGGATGGAGTTATGTAAATTGATCCAGGATATGCTATATTGAAATTAAAATCTTAATTAATATTAATTAAATAATATATATACAACAACAACATTATTTATAAATTAATTTACCAGAATCAGCTAGAATATTTAAATCATTTTCAATTGCAAATTGATCTATTTGAGATAAAAAAGCAAATGTACTATCATGAATATTTCCTTTTGCTATTGAAACATAATATATTCATTTCCCTATCAACTAAAACTTCTGATGATAAAATTGGTTCTCCAACATCCAATCTAAAATCTGCCTGATGGGGGTGAACTCTGTCTCTTTTAACATTTATTATAAGATTTTTTAATAGGTGAATTTAAATTTTTTTCTAATCTCTTGGGAATGACATAAAGTTATTTTTCATTTTCCTTGTTCTTCTATCATCCAGCAAATCATATGCTAAATATAAATCTAGAATAGAGTCTGTTCTTTTCTCCATTTGGATCAATAATTGACGATAGTTTTTTAATTTTAATTTTTTTCTTTTTAATTCTTGAAATGAAATTTGTTTATCTTCTTTTATTTCTTTTATTTTATTACATTTTTTCCTATTTTAAACGTTTCTTCATATAAATTGTCTGAATCAAAAAATTCTAAAAACTCGGTTTGTATTTTATTTTCGACAATAAAACTAAATGGTTCAATTGGATCGAACCTACTGGTATCATATAAATTCTCTTCGTCACTTGAATCATTAATATCATCTTGATCATTCAAATCATCACCCAAAACCTGATAATCCATATTATTATTATTATTATTATTATTATTATTATTATTATTATTATTATTATTATTTTAAATATATTATATTGTCATTTAAATATAAACCTTTTCCTTTTGTATATTCCATAAGACCTATCAAATCCATAATATGTAAACCAGAAGTTGTTATTTCAATATTGTTTATAAAATATTTCTTTATCACACCAAATTGGGCAATTGTATAAAAAAATTTCCTAATTATTCATTTTTTTAAATATATATATTATTTTTTATAATAGTATTTTAATAAAAGATTTTTCACTGTGTGTAGTATTATCAAAAAAGTTTATTTATAAATATATTTTTAATTTTGTGTTATTTTTATAATTTAAAAAAAATAAAAATAATTATTTAAAAAATAAAAAATTCGAAAAATAAATAAAAAATTTCCCACACTACAACCACGTTTATTGTGTGAATGTGTTGTGTGAGTGAGTGAGTTTGAATGTGAGTTTGTGTTAATTTTATATCTGTGTATAAATTTTTTTTTTTGTATGTGGGTGTGTATCAGAGTCGAGTTGTACAAAAATGTAATTATACAGATCTGTTTTTTGTACATACAGATCTGTATAAATGTAATTATTTAAATTTATATACAAAAAAACAACAATTTCTAAATACATTTATTCTGAATATTCTATCATTGTTTGTCATATTTACATGTAATTTTATGTAAAAAAAAAATGTAAAAATATGAAAAAAAATGTAATATGAACTTTTTAATAAAATTTCCATTTCAATAAAATTAAGATTTTTTTTTCTTTGTATAAATTGCCAATATTAAGAATTATATTCCCAATTTTTTAAAATTATACTATAACCATCAAATTAACAATAAATAATTACCATTTTATCTTAATTTATTTATTTTTTATCTTAATTTTAATAAAAAACAATAGAATTATTAATAATAATAATAATAATAATAATAATAATAATAATAATAATAATTTTATAAATTCAAAAGATGGATATAATAATTCATTATATCCAAATCCAATAAAAAATAAAAAATCGAATTTACGACAAAATTCTTCATTTAACTCATACATGGATCATAAAGAAAATATTAGAACAAGATCAACAAAATTGTCACCATTAAGTCAAAATAAACTAGATGAATATGATACATATGTAAAACCCTCTCAACCTGAAATTTTAATCAATAATCAAGTTAAAAGTAAAAAAGCATCATCACATGAAGAATAAATCATCAAATGAATTATCAAAAGAAAAAAAGATTAAAATTGAAGAAATTAATGATGATGATGACGATGATGAAGAAGAATCAAATGATAAAATAAAAAAAAAAAAAATATTTTGGAACTTTGTATTTTTTGCCATATTGATCCAATCTACCAGAACAATTTCTAATTTTATCTTCAATTTTTTTTTCAGGAAAATTGGTATGAAATTGTTTGTTAAAAAAAATGTGGACAAAACTAAAGATGAAAGAAAAAATGAAAGAAGAAAAAGATTCCAACATTTAATGAATGTCCACCAAGATGATTTGGTTATTAGGAATAAAATTGTATTACTTCAAATAATGCCAGGTATTCAATCTCAATTTTAAAAAAATGCTCTTAAACCAATCCAAAATCAATAAAAAAAATCTTTTTTTAAATAAAAATCATTATAATTTTTTAAATATATTATTTTTTGTTAAGAGAAAAACTTTGTTATAATTTTATTTTTATACACACTTAAAATAATTTTTTTTTTTTCATTTTTAGTGATAATATATTTTTTTTATATACTAAAAAATTCATTCATTTTTTATGAAAGAAAACCGATAAACATGAATGAATTTTTTAGTATGAATGAATTTTTTAGTATGAATGAATTTTTTAGTATGGACGATTTTGCAAGTAGCTCATTGCTACATTCAGATAAAAACTGCAATTCCAAAGACAACTCTCCATATGAGGCTTTTAAAAAATTATCTGATTTCCGCGTCAAACTTTTTAAATAAATAATAAACTATAATTAAAATACATTTTAAATAAATTAATTAAACTATATTTAATTAAATATTGATAGTAGTAATAAAAAAAAACAAATTTTTATTATCTTTTATTTTTATTTAATTTAATTAATATGAATTGTAAACTTTAGTGTGACATGAACCAAACGAAGTTTTTGTAATTATATTATTTTCTTAAAGTTGCTTTTTAACTTGATCTAATGGTTTGTTAACTTTAATAATAGAGGAATATTTCAATATGAACTAAAGAACTCTTGTTAAATTTTTTTTTTTATTATAATAATCAAATATACTTTTTCCTTTTTCATTTAAACACTGTTTAAAATTTTTTAATTTTTTTTAATTTACTTTTTTTTTTAATTTTCTTTCATTGTATTTTGAAAAAGTTTTTTTTTTAATTTTTTTTCATAGCATTTCGAAATAGTTTTTTTTTTTTTTTTTTTTTTTTTCTTTATTATTTTATATACATACAAATAATCATACATTTTTATTTTTTCATAATAATATTCTGCACATATAATAATTTTTAATAATAACAATAATAATTTTTTATATTTTTAAAATAATTTACAACTTAATTAATATTTAAAAATGGATTTATTACTTTTTTTTTACTTTTTATGTGGTATCGCCAGTTTCTCATTAGCATTTTTTATTATCAAAAAATACAATAACAATAATAATAACAATTACAATAACAATAACATTAGAAACAACAATAATACCACCCACACCCAAGACCCAATCAACCCATCTGCCATTGCATCATCTGCCTCTACATCATCTGCCTCTGCCTCTGCATCATTTGCCTCTGCACCAGCATCTTCTGTATATACACGATCTGCACCATTTGTATCTGTATATGCACCAGGATCATCAATACCTGCAAGATCTGCATCATTGGTACCTGCAAGATCTGCATATGCACCATTTGCAGAGGCATCAGTATCTGCACCAGTATCATATGTATCAGCACCATCAGGATCAGAATATGTATCATCTGCACCAGCACCATCTGCACGATCTGCCTTTGCCTCTGCCTATGACTCTGCACAACCAGCATTAGCATCAGTCTCTGCACCAGCATCATCTGTATCTGCATCATCTGTATCTGGATCTGCACCAGTATCATCTGTATCTGCACTATCTGCCTATGCATATGCCTCTGACTCTGCACCATCAGCCTCAGTCTCTGTACCATCACCATTATCAAGAACCACAAATTTAGAAAGCCAGTATCCAGAAATAGCCATGACTGGGCGTCTGGGCGTCCACATCAACTGGCAATAGTCCAATGAAGAAAAGACCATTGGAATTAGATAATGTAATAAATTGGGATACAATTTCAAAAAAGCATAAACTCAGAGATGAAGAGAGTTTAAATAGAGACAATCAAATTTTAATTGAAACGGAAAGAGTAAGAGAAGAAAAAATAAAATTAGACAAAATTATAAGAGCAAGGGAAATGGAAAGAATATCAAAAATTTTCAGAGAAAGGGAAGAAATTGAAAGAATTCTAATAAATCAAATACTTCAAAGAGAACAAGATATAAAAGAAGAATACGAAAGAAGAAAATTAGAAAGAATTCAAAAAGAAAGAGAAGTAAAGATATGAACAATCAAAATTGAGAGGCATCCAAAGACAACTAAAAAGAGAAGAAAGAGCAGAAATTGAAAGAGAAAATAAAGAAATAAAAAGATTAAAGAGAATTCAATAAGAATTAAGAGAAGAACAAAGAATATTAGAACAAGAAAGATTGGAAAGGGCCCGTTTAGAAAGGGACGACAAATGCACAATTTGTCTTAGTGAAATTGAGACCAGTGAACTCGCAACCATTGCATGTGTTCATAGATTCTGCTATGTATGTATTGATGAATGGTCCAAAAGCTACCTTACCTGCCCAAACTGTAGATTACCATTTACTGACATCAGAGTAAGTAATCCATTAAATTTATATTAATACGAAATAATTAAAATATATTAATTTATTTCATTTTATTATTTATTGCAGAGAGTAGCTAGTGCTCAAGGTTTATAGGGCAATGACGATAAAGATAAATATGAAAATGACTATATTGATATGGATCAATAATGAAATTGATGGCGGTTAAATTAATAGTTTAAATTCTTTATTCAATGTTTCATTCATTAGAACTAGATTAAGACTAAATTATTAATAAAATCGTTTAATTCAATGTTTCAATTATTGAATTCGATGGAATTAAGAAAGTCATCTACATCATCCAGAAACAATCATCTTTATCAACATTTGTCATAAGAAATAATGTATCACACTAGTTCAAATCTACAGAATAATTCTAAATGTCCCAAGATCAAATATAACAAAATAATTCCAAAGGTAACTATAATTATAATATTTAGATAATTATTAATATATTTGAATATAAAAGATACTAATATAATATAATTCTTGGTTAAGTTAAATCCAATTTTTCCTTTTTTTCCGCCAACATATTTTCTTCATTTTTCTTCTAAAGGTAATTAAAATGATAATATTAATATAATTATTATTATTTTTATATAAAAAAGAAACTTATATTTAATTCATATTTAGTTAAATTCTTTCTTTTTCATACCAACACGTGCTATTTAAAGTCTATACTCAAGGCAACTATAATGTTAATATTAACATAATTATTTTTTAAAAAAAAGATACTAATATATTTTTTAGCTCTATCAACCGTTTTTAGTCGCTGTTTA